TCTCACTAAACTGACAGTAAGGCTCTACAATTGGGCAGGAGGTTGGAGGTTTACCTCAGTGGTACAGCTCTTACCTAGCATGCAAAAGGCCCTGGATCTGTGCCCAAGCCCCACAAATAAAATAGGATTGAGGATGTAGGGTAGTTGGTAGTGTTTGCTTAGCCTGCACAAAGCGCTGGGTTCATGGCCCAAATGATGGAATGAAGTTGTTTCTCAGACCAATGGTATTATTCTATTTAGTCACTTAGTGAAATTTGCTCATTTTATTGAAAAGTCAGTACATGGCTCAGTCTTGACGATCAATAAGTATGTGAGTTTTTGTTTTTGTTTGTTTTGAGATAGAGTCACATGTAGCCCAGATTGGCCTCAAATTTACTATGTAGCTGAGGATGACCTTGAACTTCTTTCTAATCTCTATTTCTGGAGCTCTGGGATTACAGGTGTTAGGGTTCAGACCTATAGCAACTCCCTCCCCAATGTAGCAGGGCCTCACAGTTCTGCAGGGCCCCTGAGAATGCAGGAACTGAGTTAATGAGCACCCTCATCTTGGAAGACAAGATAAACAGACTCCACCTTTTGACCAGAGACCCAATTACTGCAAGGAGTTACTTTAACACAGCATACTTCCTCTTTGATGATCTTAAAGGATAAATGGACTCTTTACACCTTTGACCCAGATCCTGGCTGATAGAAGAGGATGGAAGAAAGGGTTGGTTTGACAGAGGCTACTCTCTCCTAATAAGCCCTGGGCCCTCTCTCTCCCCACCCCAACTTTTTAAAAAATATTTTCACGCCTTCCGCATCCCCTGAAGGCCCCTATAAAAGACCCCTAGTCAACAACCTGTGGAGGGACAACTTCTCTATCCCAAAGGGAACTGTCCCATGTGCTTTTCCCTCTGCTAATAAACTACCCCGATTTGACCCAATTTACCTATCAACAGGTATGTACCTTTATACCCTGTTTATGTGGAGCTAGGAATAGAAACCTAGGCCCTCTTGCATGCTAAGCACTCTACCAACTGAGTACATATCCGGCCCAATATATATGGGTGTTTTTTTGTTTATTTTTTGAGACGGGTCTCGTGTAGCCCAGTTGGTGGTCTTGAACTCACTATGTATCTGAGGATGACCTTGAGCTTATTTTTTTAAATACTTTATTATTTTTATTTTATATGTATGAGTGTTTTGCCTACATACATTTAAGTGTACCCATGTCATTCAATGCCTGTGGAATCCAGAAGAAGTCATCGGATCCCCTGGAACTGATGGGGAGCATGGAAGGTTGTTAGCTACCATGTAGATGCTGGGAACCAAACTTGGGTCCTCTGCAAAAGCTGCCAGTTTTACTCTTAGCCATTGAGCCATCCCTTCAGCCTGACTTCTAATCTTCATGTCTCTACCTCTCAAGTATGGGGATTACAAGCATATGCCACTGTGTATGGTCCAGTTCAGTGCTGGGGATCCAATCCAAGGCTTTGTGTATGCTAGGCAAGCAGCACTCTACCCACTTAGCCACCTCTCTAGCCCCAATAGGTATGTCTTTAATAGCAAGTAACTTCATCAAAACTTTAATCTATAAAGGAAAGGAAATCTAGGGTTGGAGAAATTAGATTGCTCAGTGGTTAAGGACACTGGTTTTTCTTTCAGAAGACCCCGGTTTGAATCACAGCACCCACATGGCAGCTAACAACTGTCCCTAACTCCAGTTCCAGGGGATCCAACAGCTTCTTCTGTCCTCCGTGGGCATTGTACAACATGGGTGCACTTACTTACATGCAGACAATACATGCATACACATAAAATAAAAATAATATTTTTTTTGGAAAAAGGAAAGGAAAGCCAGGTGTGGTGGTACACACCTTTAATACTAGCTCTTGGGAGGCAGAGGCAGGCTGATCTCTGTGAGTTCAAGGTTAGCCTGGTCTACATAGTGAGTTCCAGGACAGCTGGGGCTACAGGGAGACCCTGCTTCAAAAAAGAACAAAAACAAAAACCAAAAAAACAAAAAAAAGGGAAAGGAAATCTGAAACTTGTAAGCATTCAGATGCTTCTCTGTTTCCATTGTTCTTTATATAATACAGATTATTTGGAGAACTGATACAGAGCTTATGAACTTTCAGTACCCCTTGATGATACATGGGAATTCAGGCTTTGCAGGTTCTTGCTTCCTGTACTATATTAATTCATTTGGAGGCTCTTTATTAAAATCACAACTGAGAATTGACTTAAACTGAGAGAACTTTGCTTAGCTCCCACTAGAAGTTTCCCCTTAAAACCAAATGCAGAGGAAATAAGAACTTGGTCATTTCTTCTCTAGATCCCCTTAACTATTTGATTAAAATATGTGCAGCATGGAAAGGTCATTAGAAGCTTAGCTGTGCGGACTGGGTTGTGTTTAATCAGAGATGCAAGCCTGTTCCAGAGAGTAGAAATGATTTGGGGACGTGAACAAAGCAGAGGTTTTAGGGAATACTATTTATAGATCCACTCTTCAAATGTGGAAATAAAGGGAGGTAGGTGTGGGAAGGTATTTTGGAGGGTTTTTGTTGTTGTTGTTGTTGTTGTTGTTTGCTTTTTGGTCTTTTTAAGACAGTTTCCCTGTAGCCCCAGCTGGCCTGGAACTCCCTATGTAGGCCAGGCTGGCCAGAGATCCACATGCCTCTGGCTCCTGAGTGCTGGGATTAAAGGCGTGCACCACCACGCTGAGCTTTCTTTTCTTTATGCTTTTTAAAAAATTTTTTATTTGAAGTGTATGAGTATTATGTTTGCATGTATGTAAATGCACCTGTGCCGCTCAGTGCCCAAGGAGGATAGGAGAGGGCGTTGGATCCCCTGAAACTGCCATGTGGGTGCTGAGAATTGAACCTGGGTCCTCTGCAAGAGCAACTAGTGTTCCTTAACCACTGAGCCATCTCTCCAGCCCCTGATTTTCTTATTTGGTGCTGTGAAGTGAGGTTTTTCTAACAGAATTGCTTTCCTCTTTATCCAGAACTGGCTAATTTTTCCTATTGAACTGAAGTTTGAAGGTTATTATTTATGCTTCATTCAGTTTTTCTATAATTTATAAATGTGCCTGACGAACAGAGAGGAGGGAAGTGTCACCTTCTCCTATATTTATCAACAGAGCCAGTCTCTACACTGCAGGTACAATATGTTTACATTTCACAGGGTTTTTTATTATTTTTTGTTTTTTAATTAATTTGTTTATTTTTATTTTATGTGTTTGAATGTTTTGCCTGAATGTATGTAAGTACACCACATGTATGCAATGCCCATGGAGGCCAGAAGAAGGGGTCATATCTCCTAAAACTGGAGAGACCATTGTTAGCTTCTTTGTGGGTGCTGGGAACCAAACTCAGTTCCTCTGTAAGAGCAGCCAGTACTCTTAATCCCTGAGCCATCTCTCCAACATCATGAGATCCTTTCTTTCTTTTCTTTCTTTCTTTCTTTCTTTCTTTCTTTCTTTCTTTCTTTCTTTCTTTCTTTCTTTCTTTCCTTCCTTCCTTCCTTCCTTCTTTCTTTCTTTCTTCCTTCCTTTCTTTCTTCTTTCTTTCTCCTTCCTTCCTTCCTTCCTTTCCTCGGGGGTCTTTTTGAGACAGGGTCTCCCTGGCCTAGAACTTGCTATGTAGACCAGGCTGGCTTCAAACTCACAGAGATTCGCCTGCCTCTGCCTCCCAAATGCTGGGATTCAAGGCATGTGCCACTCACATCCGATTGAGGCCCTATTTCAAAACAGGGCTGGGGAGATAGCTCAGTTGGTAAAGTGTTTACCTTGTAAGCCTGAGAATCTGAGTTTGATGTCCAGAACCTAGGTGAAAATGTCAACTGTGCTAGTTTGTAATCCCAGTAGTGGACATGCACATGCATACATGTGTTCCCATATACACACAAGCAAGCACACATACACACATACACACACACACACACACACACACACACAGACATACAAAGTTATGTATACTGGCTGTAAAATTTTAAATCAAGGGGCTACAGAGATGGCTCAGAGGTTAACAGCATGAGCTGCTCTTCCAAAGGACCCAGTTTCAGTTCCTAGTACCCACATGGCAGCTAACAATCACCTGTAATTCCAGTTCCAGGGGATCAGATGTCCTCTTCTGACCTCCTTGGGCATTGCACAAATGTGACGCACATACATACATGCAAACAAACACACATACACATAAAATAAAAACAAATCGTGGCTGGAGAGATGGCTAAGCAGTTAAGAACACTAGTTGTTCTTGCAGAAGACCCGGGTTCGAGTCCCAGCACCCACATGGTAGTTAACAACCGTCCATAACTCCAGTCCCCGGGGATCAGACAGCCTCTTCTGACCTCCACGGGCATTGCATGACCCAGGTGTACTTACCTACATGCAGGCAATACATGCATACACATAAAATAAAAATAATAAAAATAAATAAGTAAATCTTTAAAACATTAAATCATAAAGAAATGTATAAAGTAAAAAAATGAACCAGATGTGGTCCAAACCTATAATCCAGCACTTGGGAGACAGAGGCAGGAGGTTCAGGAGTTCAAGGTTATCCACAGCTACACAGAATGAGACCTGCCCCATGTTTTCTCAATTGCTCTTCACCGTATTTTTCGAGACAAGAGTCTCTCGCTATCCCTGGAACTTATGATTCTGCTAGCACATCGCAGGGATGCTCTTGCATTCAGATCCCAGGATTGGAACTACAGGTGCGTGCCTCCACACACACCGGTGCTAGGAACTGAACTCAGGTCCTCAGGCTTGTGCAACAAGCACTTGACTGACTGAGCCATCTCCCTGGTCCCAAACCTATTTTCCTTTCTTATATAAATTTTTTTGGGTGGGGGCACATGTCTCATGATAGGCATGTGGAAGTCATAGGACAACTTGCAAGAGTTGAGTTGGTTTTCTCCTTCCATTACGTGAGTCCTAGAGATCGGACTCAGTTCATCAGGCGTGGTGCCAAGCGGGGGAGGGGAACACTTTAGGCGCCGAGCCGGCTTCGGTGGGGCGCGCGCGGTCAGGTGACTGGGCCAAGATGGCGGCGTCCGGCTCCGGCGGGTTCCTGGCTGTCTCTCTTCTCAGCTGGTGTTGCGCGGCCAGGGTGCTGGGGCATCCGGACTCGCCGCCGCCGCCGCTGGTGATCTGGCATGGGATGGGTGAGTTGAGTACGGAGAGGGGCCGAGGACAGGCGACTCTCTTCCTGTCCCCGACGAGGGTCACGACTGCAAAAGCGGGGCGTGGAGGGCGAGGACCGAGATGCCCAGCACCTACCGGACGTTCTCGGATGTGGGGGCTGCTCTGCGCTGGGAGGAAGGGAAGGGGGCGTCCTTGGTGAGCGCTCCCAGAGAGCTGCGCAGCGCTAGCGTTATACTCGGTCCTGGGGTAAGACCCCAGCAGTCGTGCTGTCAGCATCTGACACTTGGCTAGACGAGGCGGTCCAGGATTTCATCCCTTCAGACTTTGTAAGTAGAGACTTGTAAAGCCCCTGCGCTTCAGTTCTACATTTAACACACCGTGAGAACCGACCAGGTTCTGCGGTACAGCTGTGGATGAAACATTGAACTCTTCGCCCTTTTGGAACTTATTTTCCAATGGGAGATACAGACTATAAAGAAATAAGTGAAAGGTGGTGATGAGTGCGGTGGAGATAAAAGCCGATAGAACCCGAAGTGGTAGCTTACATGTATCAGAGCAAAGCCGGGAAAGGATTCACCCACAAAGTGACGAGCTCTGAAGTGGATGAGGGAAGATGCCATTTGCATGTGTGGTACAAGGCCCTATGGCAGGAGTTTGTGCGTTCAGATAGCGCAGTCGGATTCGAGGGAGCTAGGGGAAGTGAATAGAGGTTCACGTTAGAGAGAGGGGTGGGCGCACATGGTGGGTCTATTAAGACTAATGTAAGGTCCGGCTTAGTGGCGCTGACCTTAAATACCAGCACTCCAGAGGCAGAGCAGGTGGATCTTTCTGAGAATCTGAGGCCAACCTGGTCTATATCGCTCGTTCCAGGCTAGTGTAAGGACTTAGGCTAGAGATAGGAACGTTTGAGGAGATGAGTAACATGATCTGGCTTGCGTTTTAAGCCGGAAAAACAACAACAACAACGATATAAAAGGATCATTTTAGTTGTAATACTACGTGGACGTGTGGTTATAGAACTTGTCTTAGTGGTTATTGAAATAAAACCTGTGACTATGAGGTGTCAGGAAGTTGTTTTCATTAGAAAGAACCTGGGTTGACAAAAAGGAGATAGCTCTGGGGCTGGAGAGGTGACTTAAGGATTAAAAGCACTGGCTGCTCTTGCAGAGGACCTGGATTCAATTCCCAGCACCCACATGGCAGCTAACAACCATCTGTAACTCCAGTTACAGGGGCTCAAACACCCTCTTCTGACCGTCTCGGGTATTGCATGATACAGGTGCACCTACCTACATGAAAGCTATACACTCATACACATAAAATAAAAATAATAAATACAAATTTTAAAAAGGAGATAATTGTGATTGCAGGAAACTCAGGCTGCTTGCCACCTGAGAAAAGAGCAGGTCTTTTCTTGGTTTTTTTGAAGGGTCTGGGGCTTATTAGTTGTGAAAACACCATTTTCTTGAAGTTTCTTCTTTATGGTTTAAGATTCCCCATGTAAGATACAGCTCAATAGCCTGCTTGTCCCTGGGTCGGGGATATGGGCCAGGCACATTCCATAGATTGTAAAGAGGGAGGAGAGAAACTGTGTGGGTATCAGACTTTCTGGATTAAAGACGTAAGAACCTGTCTTGTCTTGTCCTGGGTGTCCTTGTTTCTATTTTAGACGCTCTGTTGAGAATAGATTACAGGTAGTCACAGTCACAGACAGCAAGGGAACAGGTTAAGAAGATGCTGCAATAACTTAAATCTTAGAAATGCCTGTGACTTGGAGCTATTATATAATAATAGCAGAGGTGTGGGGAGTGATCAAACTTGGATTTGTTTGAAGGTAGAGCCTGTAGAATGAGCACACCTGGGGGGTGGGGGGAGAGACAGAGACAGAGAGACAGAGACAGAGAGACAGGGACAGAGAGAGAGACAGAGAGAGAAAGAGAGAATTCTGTTAAACCAAACAAAGTGGCACAAACCAGTAATTCCAGCACTTGGGAGGCTGAAACAGGAGGATCATGAGTTCCTAGCCAGCCTGAGGCACGTAGCCAGAGCCTGTCAAAAGCAGAACAGAACAGAGCAAGACAAAACAAAACAGGATTCTGCGCTTGGACTTACTGCAGTGATGGTGCTGTGTTGTTATAGTTTTGGGGGTTTAGTTTAGTTTAGGTTAGGGTTTTTTTTTTTTGAGGCAGGGTCTTCCTATAGCCCCAGCTGACCTGGAACTCACTGTGTAGAGATCTGCCTATCTCTGCCTCTATCTCTTAAAAGGGTGTGCCACCATGCCCAGCCATTTTTGGACTTTTAAAGACTACATTTATTTGTTTGTTTGTTTGTTCATGTGTGTTCACTCATGTGTGCCACATGTGGAGGTCATAAGGACAACTTTGGGGAGTCAGTTCTGTCCTTTTACCATATGGGTCCCAGGGATTGAACTCAGGTAAGTGCTTTTAACCCAACAGGTAAGTGCTTTTAACCCAAGCCATCTTGCCAGCCCAGCCC